TCACAAACAAAAACACGAATTCTTTTATACATGCAAACCGATGCTCAAGCCAACTGCTCATTTAGAGACATAGAATATTATAACCTTAAGTCTAGAAAATGTTAAAATATGTATTTAAATATTAGATAATCTCAATATGGTAAAAATCTGTTGAGTGACAGCACTGATAAAATGAGCAGACCTACCCATAAACTATAAAATGGCTTTCCAAGGGCATACATTAATTGACATGTTAGATTTTTTATTTTTAGAGTCTAAGTAATTGGAAATTGCAGTGCATGAGAACTGAGGTCATGAATTGAGTTTTTCTATAGTCTCTATGTTTTTCATCAAGCTATTGCCTCGCTAGCCTAGTTTGATTTCGTTGCCATGATAAAACACTGAGCAAGAACAGCTTGGGGAGGAAAGGCTTTATTTCATCTTACAGCTTACGGTCCATCTTCAAGGAGAGCAAAGGCAGGAATTTAAAAGCAGGAACCCAGAGGCAGAAACAAACTGAAGCAGAAAACATGGAGGAATGCTGCTTCCTGGCTTGCTTCACCTCTGTTGCTCTGCTGCCTTTCTTACCCAGTGCAGGTCCACCTGCCCCAAAGGTGGCACTGTCCACAGTGATTTTACCCTCCTACATCAATTAGCAATCAAAAAGACGTCCCAGAGAGATGCCCATGGGGCAATGTTGTGGTGGCTCTTTCTCAATAACATCCCATCAAAATCTGTCATCACAAGTCTACTCTGGTCAACATGACACACAAATACAGATGTGACCCCAAAGCTTCCATCACAAACTTAAGTGAAACCAATCATCTTGTGTGTGCTATTTTAATAGTCAGTTTATAAATGAGCACGATCAAATGTTGTCTCCTTTGACGTAAGAAGTTTTTCCTCTAAAGCAGCAACAGCATTTTCTAGTCATACTTCCTATCACAGTAGCTTGCTCAGCGCAATGAGGATGCTTACTAGATTTTTTTCTAGACTATATACACTGAGCAACCTGCAGTTTGTCATGTAGTCGGGTAATGTTTTGTAGGCCACGACTTTGATTTATTTGTTGGATGAAGTGAAATTACTGTGCTTAGGTAGCCCTTCCTCCAAAATTAATAGATTTCATTAATTTTTAAGAGACCCAAAAATTGTAAAGCAGTAAACACTCAGGAATCTATTTCGTAAGGGTTTAGTCCCTTGGAAACAATCGATGTCAGTCTTTGAAGTAGATGATCACTAACAAAAATGAAATATTTAGATACTGGTCTGTGGGTGAAAGATGGGTGTTTTTTGTTCACTGAAAATTTTGTTCCAGAATCCTGGGAACGAGGGACAAAGCGCAAATTTTACTTGAGGCTGTGAATTGTTGTAGTATTTCCTTTGACTGTCCAGGGCTCCTAGAGGTGGTGGAGTTATCAGTGAGTGGTTTTTGTTTGTGGTTTTCTATTTTGTCTGTTTTTGTTTTTGTTGTTGTTGTTTTAGTTTTTGTTTTGTTTTATGGTGCAGAAATGTATACTGCTTTTACAGAGGACCTAGTTGTGCTCTCTTGTGGCTCACAACCACCTGTAACACCAGTTCCAGAGGATCTGGTGCTCCCTTCTTGACCCATACAGAGACTAATGAATATATATACCCGAGTGATTCTCAACCTGTGAGTCATGACCTCCACATCAGATATTTACATGACAATCTAGAGCTAGCAAAATTACAGTTATGAGATGGCAACAAAATCATTTTGTGGTTGGGAATCGCCACAACACAAGGAGCCGTATTAAAGGGCCGCAGCATTAGCAAAGTTGAGAGCCGCTGATCTGCACAGAACAGAGTTCTTTCGTTTCTGAATTAAACATCATTTCATTAAAAAGATAAATAAAATCCTAACTTCCAGAGTTGAACATACACTACAGACTTAAATATTTCCCAGGTCCTCATAGATATGCTAGTGTATATGATACGAGGAAACAGCTCCTGGCCTCTGTTCTGTGAGATTTTGTATCATCATATCATCCTGAAATGGAAATCCCCAGCAGCGTGGGGAAGAAACTCTGAGAAGGCTCACACTTGTGTGGACTAGCACCTCCTCCACCTGTTTGCGCCCCTGTGATTTCCTTCATAAACATACATACCAACACTAATCGTGAAAAAAAAAAAAAAAAAAAAAAAAACAGGCTGTTTTCAATAGAATCCAATTGTATGATCTGGAGTACTATTTGAATAGTACTTCTAACCCAGGAGGTTAAAGTCTTAGAGGAACCTAGAGTTCCTCTATTAATTAAATGTAGTTTAGTAGAAATTAAATTTAGAAAACTAAATGTGGTATATCTTTTTTTTATATTTCTATATTATATTTATTAGAAGTCCACTGAAAGTGCTGTATGCATATTCTTTTTTATTTTAATTTTTATTAATTACACTTTATTCACTTTGTAAAAAGTACTGGCTATTCTTCCAGAGGTCCTGAGTTCAATTCCCAGCAACCACATGGTGGCTCACAACCATCTATAGTAATGTAATATCTTAACTGAAACCCTGAAGCAGACAAACAAAAAATAATATTGGGTAATCTACACTATAGATTCTAGCTATATGTATTAACATTGTTTTATTATTTATTATTATTATTTATTATTTATAATAAGTGTGTCATATTAGTGAAAGGTGTTGAAAATTGGAAAGTTTATTAACATTGAGGTTGTGGAAACTCTATACTACCTGCTCAATTTTTCTGCAGATCTAAAAGTATTATAAAACACAAAGCCTATTCAGTATTCAAAAAGATACATTATGTAAGCCAGGGCTTCTTTATGTAAGATTTTAGGATGTTTGTTTGTTTGTTGTATTTACTGTTTACTCTGCACACATGCAAAAATAGATAGGGCCACAGAAAAGTATGGGAATTTTGATCAGGAATAGTAAAAAGGCATGCAGGCACTAGGATGCTATGGAAGGTAAGTCTGTATCCAGATGGTGGCTACTTGAGTCTAAGATATGTGAAGATGCTGTGACAGTTTAAAAGGCACAGTGCTTACATCAGGTATTTTGATATTTGGCCGGTACACAGTGTAGAATAGAATAGGGGACACTGAACGTTGCTGGATCACCTTTATAAAGTGTACATATGTAGTTTCTCATATGTGCACAGAGGGGAGTTAGTCCTGAGAGCGTGTCCTTCCCATCAGGTTCCATTGCTGGGACATTTGTCATGCCTCTCGGGGTGCCCATGGGGTCCTTCCTAAGAGCTCAGGACAGATTCACAAGTAATTCTCACACGTGTACTTGACCAAGTTTTCAAGTTCCTGTGATTTCACCAGAAATTGCAGACAAACTCTCTGAAATTATTACATGTACTGACTGATGGTACAATAAATGGTGGAATAATTATGACCACAAAAAGCATAACTACTGATGTTTCCTTTGCATCGTTTGCTTTAATTTTGTAATCAGTCAAACTAGGAATGGTTGAGGAAACTCTTTGTTATGTGAAGTTCTTTGCCCATTGTAGGTGATATTGAGATACTCAGTTTATCCACGAATCCTTCAGTCAGTGTTTGTAAGGCAAAGCTCTTTATATGTTGTTTAAGTACTATTTATGGACGATAAACAGAATACTTTTGGAAACAAGTTTGGAGGGACTTTGGTCTTATAATTATTTTAGATGAATGGGCTTGTTGTCTCATTCTTTTTGATATAAATAGGAAGCAAAGAAGGACACTGAAATTCAGAAGCAGGACCTGTGAGATGCCTCAGCAAGGAACAAATAAAAATGCTTGTTTTCCAATGATGCCAGCTTGATGACTTGAGTTTAGTCCCCAGAACCCACATAAAGGTGGAAAAAGAGGACCGACTCTATCACATTGTCCTCTGACAACCACAGGTACAGCCTGACACATGCTTGTGCATACATAGAAACAAGAAGCAAAAACAAATTCGGAAACAAACAAGAGCTTCTGGGAAATCTTATAGGAAAGCTTGCTTCGATGGCATTTAACTTATATGTGGGAATCCTAAGCAGCTGGTGCTCAGAATTGGATTTCCCCTAACACTGCTTCTGTTTGTTTGGCAGTCTTCACAAGCATTCTTGGTTTCCATTAGAGCCAGTCATTACTTATGTTGTCATTCATTCTGTGGGGACAATAAGCCATCAATAAGACTACATCACCGGCAACAGCTTTCCAAACTGAGGGGTGAATCATCCTGTCAGTCAGCTCTCTAAACTTAGCAGCATCCCCATGTAAGAGAACGTCACACTTAAGGTTAAGAACATGCCTCCTCCACAATGAACCATCTTTACTATAATTCCCAGCTTCCTCACTCATGTCAATGACATAGCATTTTCAGATCTTACTTTAATAGTGGGATGATGTCATTAAACAGGACACTATGTTTTCATTTTTCCCTGCAAAATTTGTGTTTATAGAAAAGCATCAGACCCTCTTAAGTTATACATAGGGTTATAAAAAAATGTTTGTTGGAAAATATAGTCAGTACCCATCATTCGTTACATTGTAGTGCTCAGAAAACTGTATCTAATGGGCTTGTCTGGAATACTGCTGAAATGAAGGTGCTGGGTATTTTCTCTTCCAAATTCCCTTGAAACTTGTTTTTAAAGGGTAGTTGAGTCATGTCTGATAATGTGTTATTTCCTTCAGCCATTTCTCATTCTGCCTTTTCTACTCAATTCTCTCGTACTGAAGATTCCCCTGGTGTATAATTTTGGTTGACTGCCAGTCAATATTCAGACTACATGTCAAAGACATTGGTGAAGATGTGTCCTGATATGGTTGTTTTGTAAAGACTATATGTAATTTCATGGAACATTCCAGAAATGCTCTGCAGAAGCAATGTAAATGTAAAAGCTTTGGTGTCAGTAGTATCTGTTAATATTCTTTTTTTCCTAAAGAACAGTTATTGATACAGCAAGCCACTGACTGGGCCTCAGATTTTCCCTAGTTTGTCAGTAATATTTTCAGGAGATTTCCCCCAAGTGATAAACTAACATGCATACATTCTATCAACAGGAGACAGTACAGAGCTCTTAAAGATGGCGGATGAGCGGAAAGACGAAGGAAAGGCGCCACACTGGACAGAGGCAGCTGCACACCCTCACCCTCCAGAGATGAAGGACCAAGGCGGGGCAGAGGAAGGGCTGAGCCGCAGCGCCAATGGATTTCCATACAGAGAGGAGGTGGAGGGCGCCTTCGGGGAGCACAGTTCACAGGGCACCTATTCAGATACCAAAGAGAATGGGATCAATGGAGAACTGACCTCGGCTGACAGGGAAACAGCAGGTAACTGAGGGCTGCAAGGATGTCTTTGTGCTTTGTAGTCTGGTCACTCTGAAAGTGAATTCATTTACAGCAGCCGGCCCTGTCACTCTGCCAGTACTGGAGTCCAGTCAGGAGAATTAGACACCCTGGTAAGGCAAGCGCCAACTTCGTGGCAGTTGGCCTGACTTCCCCCAACTTGGTTGTAGTCTCAATCTTGTTTCCCGTTTAATTTTCACCACCTCAATTTTTATAGGCCACATACTCAGTATATGTATATTTTGTTATAACTGTCAGTATTTTAAGTCACTGGGGAAAAAAAAAATCACAATGTTTTCTTCTTATTACCTTGAGTGAAATTGGGCCTGACTAAGTCTAACAGATAGATTAGAAGCATATTTCTTTTCAGGATAGAAAGAACTATGAAATCCAAAGAAACAGAGAGAAAGAGAGCAAAGAGATGGGGGATGAGCACTGTCCACCTCTTAAAGATTGTTTTTACTTAAGCAGATCTTCCCAAATGTGTCCTGGGATGCTAAATAAATTCACAGGAATATAGCAAGGTAGTATAAATATTCAGTGCAGTTCAGAGTAACGCAGCCTCTGTCAAACACTGCATAAGCCATTAGCTCCTGGCAGTTCTGTTTCATCACTGCACACCTCTTAAAGATTGTGTATCTTCTCTACTAAGTTGAATCTTGGACAGTTGCTCTGGTGCAACGCCAGGGCCCTGCAGAATTCCGTGAGAACAGGAAAAGAGGACGGTGGTAGGTTGACTGAATAGGGAAATTGAGAACCTGTATAGGTTATAGTGAGGATCATGCAAACACTACAAAAAGTATAAAGCCAATGCTCCCAGGCATCGTATCTGGTAGTTACCACCATTGTAGACTGACAGTGGTGGTGACACTCTTGAACAAGGACTATTTATCGCTAGCTGAGTGCAGTGTAACTTGCTGTGGATGGGACTCCACACTGAATGGACTTTGATAGGTTTGAGGCATAAGGGATGAGAATAAGCAACAGCGCCGTGGTTAGGAGGAAAGAAAGGGATAATGGTGTCGATCAAGAGTTTCTTCAGCCTCAAATCCTGCGGCCCCGGGCTTTACGGATGCAGTCAATAAACGTGCAGGGCCAGTGACTGAATAAATAGACAAATGCAAAGACCGTCTTTTTCAAATTCATTTGAAACTATACTTTTATCCTCTGATTATAGAGGCCTTTGTTGTTGTTGCTGCTGCTGCTGCTGCTGTTGGTTTGACTTTGTTTTTGTTTTGGGGGGAGAGTATTACTCAAGCCCAGGCTGGCCTTGAACTCACTGTATAGTTCTGACTCTCCTTAAATTCAAGGTTGTCCCCTTGTCTCAGTTTGCCAAGTTCTGGGATTACAGGTATGAGCCACCATGCCTAGCTAGCTTTGTCTCTTGGATACTCAACACATGACCCTTATTGACTACTGTGGAGCAATACAATGAACTACAGAAAAAATAATCACTGTATATATTATGCTTGTTCAAGCCATGGACAACTAGTATTTAATATCCTGTTCGTTCAGTGGTCTTAAATGAAGTATTTAACAGCATCAGAAAAATATATTTGTCAGGTCAGTGTGTCCTTGCCAGCTTCTTTCAGAAAATAAGATAAATTAAATCCAACTCACAGGTATTTCTTTCGAGTGGTGGTTTCAGGAACATCCAGTGTTTATTGTGGAATCATCTCAACATGTATTAAATTAGTCTTATGTTATCTTGGGAAAAAATGATTTCTAAGCATTCATATGTATGCTCACAGGGACAGAGGTGGTACATCGTCATCTGTGGGTTGCCATAGTGATGTTTTCAATCCAAACTATGCCATAATTTTTTAAAACTAACTCCATTCTAAAAATAACAGGCCAATTATTGAGTCTCTGAGATATGCCAGCGTGGAATGCTATAGGGAAAGAAAAATGTAAAACTTGGTTTCCTTATACTTAACAAAGAATACGCAATATGGAATCAGCTTCTCTCCAAACGAGTTTAGTAAAGTGATAATGGTTGTCATTGGTGATTTATAAATAACTTCCTTAAAATGTGTGTTGTGAATAATCACCTGTATAAGCAAATCCTCTTAAATCTTAAATCTGACATTTTTAAAATCCTGTGCTTTGAAGGTGGTGACTTGATGGGAACTAGCATTATATTTGGAGGTGGGCACTTCAAGGAGGACCAAAGAGCTCATTCTTTTCTTCATTTATCTACAGTGCAGTCATATATCACATTTCTTCCACAAAGAATAATCTTCGAAAACAAAACTCTTCCCAAAAAGAGCTCCTCAGCAGGGAGGGGCGTCCTTAGCTATGCTTGAGGTGGCCACAAAATGTTTCTTCTGTTTTCTTCTTGGCTGTGGTTGTCTCTTCGTTTCCAGATGTCTTTTCCCTAAGCTTATTTGTAATCATCAAGGATGGAAACATCATATTTTCTCAAGACTGGGCCTCCTTTAGCCTGGTGTTCTACCTTCTTCTCTCTCATTCACCCTTTGAATGTCCATTTTCATTTATGAGCTTTGGGACATTCTAAACATGTACATCTGTGGTCAACTTAATTTTGTTCTTGTGCACTGAGATCAGGTTGGAGAGCAGGATATGTTAGAAGACATTTTAAATCTTATTTCTCTACGCTTATTAGATGTTGTCTCCTTCCATACAGTGTAAAGGGAAGCCCATAGAAAGGTGGGTAGAATTATTTTCTCAACTCTAATTTTGATGTTTTCTTTCTCTGTACTAAAGTGTCCATTTTAAAGCTTTGTCATAGGAGTATGTAAAAATATGTGAAGCTATTCAGAATCAAGCCACCTAAACAAAGGGTAGAGTTTTTTTTTCTTCTTTTTATATTGTTTTGCAAAGCATAACTGAGAAGAAAAAGAGCTTGTGATAATCCATCCTTTTCTTTTGCACTTTATTAAAGAAAGCACAATAAATACACTTTGGCCCACACAGATTTCCAAACCAGAGTGACAACTAGGCACCTCACCTATAAGCTTCTTATCCAGGTTCTAGGCTCAAAGTTATTAGAATTCATATTAAAGTAAAATGGGGTTACTTGGCAAAAAGGCAGAAAGGTTGATTTGTATCTATAAAATTAGTAACTCTTTGTATCTAAAAATGTATAAAACTTTGATCAGAACATCATTATAGGAAGTGGAAGTATTGAAAACTACCTTTCAAGTGGCATTTTAAGGATGTGAAGACACAGTTTTTGTAGTCAGGGTGCTTGTGGTGTGGCAATGTGACTGGCTTTCACTTCATTTGGTGTCCTGTTTTCTGTGGCATTAAATCTTATCTTTACTGAGTCTAGTTATGAAATCGTTTTAATATAATGTTTGCTAATTATAAAAGTTAGACCTGCAAACTATTAATTAATTCTGCATTTTTCTGAACACCTTTATCTATCTAGAGATAGAAAAGTCTTCTGATTCCTTTTCATTCCTCAAGGGTTGCTTGAAAAACTGGAATCTGTTCTTCTTATCTGCTCTCCCTGAATAGAGACAACTGTGAATTAAATAAATTTGAAAGAACATTAATAGGAAAGAATAACTGTGTTTTTCCTGCTAGTCATTGCACCTTATTTAATGCGCTATATCAATTATTAATGTAGAATTTATGCGCTTTTTCCAGTAATACAAGCAGTCAAGAGATGACTTAAGCCATATGTGAGGACTGAAGAGGCCTTATGCAAACATTATGACATTTTACATAAGGACTTGAACAGCAGATTTTGATATTGCAGGGATCCTGAAGCCATCCCTCCCCACTGCCATCGTCCCCACCACAAGGACACAGAAGCACAACTGTGTACTCAGAGCCACAGCTTGAAAATATTTATAGATCATGTGCTCCCACCTGGCTCTTCAGTTCATGCACCATCATGACTTTGATCACATCCTATCATTTTGGGATGTCCACAAAGATACCTGTCATTAGTGTTTTCATTCTCAAATGAGAAAATTTGGGCACAGGCTGTTTAAGTGACTTAGAGATGCACAGTTAGGAGATGAGGGTGCCGCATTGAGAGCCCAGTGGCCAGTGTCAACTTGGTCTCATTCTGAATTGTCCTTTTCCCCCAAAAGAGACATGTAATCTTTGTGTGCACTTTGCCATTTATTTACTTTCTAAGCAGGCTGCTGACTGTCAAGGCTTTCAGGGTTCCTGTAGAGTTATTTTTTCTTGCCTCTCAAAATCAAACTTGTGAACATCACCTTTTTCCTTTATTGAAAAACATTCATGGAATCTGGCCGTTCCCTTGCCATGGTTCTAGATAGGGATCCGTGGAAGGGATCCAGAATACTCACTTTCACATCCATCCCTCTTTGGGTGTAGTCTCACCTGAGAGCATTTGCTGCAGAGCCCAGGCTTCTTGCTTGAGAGAAAAGAGCTCCTATGGGGTGCCCTCATCCAGTAGTCATCCATGGCAGGCAAAGTGCACATTTCTGTTGCAGAACTTATATTCACACTCCTGGAGCATGGAATGAAATCATAGCGTGAGTCTCAGTTTCCTCCTAAGTGGAGAAAGAAAGGAGGCAGAGAAGAAAAGGATATTTATATATGTCAAAACATGCAAGTGTTTAAAAGCAGACTCTGGTGACTTCTGCTGTCCTCAGGCATGATGCTCCAAACACTAACAGTAAAAATAAACATGTTCCCAATGAAGCGGCTCATTTTTGGATATCACTTGGGGTAAACATAAAAAACCGAAGAGTGTTTCTTTACCTTAATCCCAACTATTCCCTACAATGACTTTTTTTCTGGCATGTCTATATTTCCAGGTCTGCCCCTTCCCCGGGAGGTGGTATGTCTACATTTGAACATCCCCATGACTCAAGCAGCCCTGTGACAGACCTAGACACATAAAATAATTGTTGCAAAGACTACATGTTGAAGCTTGGAAGAAACATAGTGGAGGCAAAGGCTGGTACCACTCATATGCAAATAGCAAATAGCTCTAAGCTCCTCTCTGTTCTCTATTTTTCAACCTTAAAAAAAAAATG